CTCCCTGAGGCGGAACTGGTGGTTGCCACGGCAGAGCCAGAGCATGGATTTTAAGAGCAGGAATGAGGAACTTTGGGTCTAGTTTGGTTTGAAAATACCAGGTAAATTTGCATCGCTGGCAAGTAAAGCAAAACAAACCCAACCCAGGGAAAACCCTAGTCCTTCAAACACAGCAGGAGTCTGCAGGAAAAGGGTTGGCCCCTGGACATCTACAGTCTTCTCCCATGACTCCAGCCTGACCCTGGGTCTCACAGCCCAGGGGTGATGTTCTCCAGCTGGTGATGAGGCAGTAGCCAACAGCAGTAGCCAACCCACCTTCCACCAGCCCCAGGGCTCCCTGCTGACACCCACACTGAAGCTGCTGCAGTGACAAAGTCAATTAGTCAGAAGACCAGTTTCTCCTGGAGACTCTGGCCCAGTACAGCTGCCCTTCCCTGATCCAAAGCACTTCTCCTGAATTTGATCTTTATAATGAAAGCTGTGCACAAGGATGCTTTTAATTGGGATAGTAGGTCTTGACAGGCTCATGTAGACATGGAAATGATATGTCTGAGCCACTATGGGACTGATAGTTAAGCAGGAGGTGAATACCCCGTGGAAAAACAAAGCTGAGTGTCTTCTTTGGGTCTTTTCTAACATTGCTGCACCACATAAACACAGTCTGTATAATCTGCATTAAGGCACTGAGTGTACATTTATCCACTCTTCAGATCACTTCTGAAATACTATGATCTCTCTCCATGGCTGTTTTCTGGGCTGGGGTCTCTTGTGATTTTGCCTTCCAGGCCCAAATCAGGCAAATTACATCCAGAATTAAGTAGTACGAAGTCTGCTTTCAGAGGTACTCAACAAAAGCCTGGAAACTCGGCAGAGTTTGACTGAACCTGGAGGTAGATTTTGTTTCTGCTCTTGCTTTTCTCCTGTTCACCTCCCTGGCACCCCCAAATGGAATTAATAGGCATTAATAGGCAGGAGCAGCCTTTCCCTTGCCTCTCTGTGAGAAGAGCATTGTTCCTGCAGCTCCTCACATCAGCTGTGCTGGAGAAGCACAGCCCACAGCCCCTCTGAGTGCCCACCAGCTTTTCCCTATTTAAAATAAAAGCTCATCCCCTTGCCCAGGCTCCTGCCAGTTTGCAAACTGGGGCTGGTTTGGCTGCTCCTGGTGCATCAGGTGATGGTGGGGATCCCACAGGCGCTTGGCTGAGGAGCTGCTTGTTACTGGAAGCTCTGGTGCTGAGAGATGCGGGCTGGGCTGGAATGAAGGTAAATCTCTTCCTTTGAGTCTGTGGATTATGGGTTACACCAGAGCAGGATTGCTCTGCTCCCCCTGGTCCTGGCTGCCTGGCACGGAGGGAGCGGGGCTGGTGATGGGGAGCAATTATCTGGGTGACTAAATGCAGGGCTGCTGGGAGTGATGCTGCTTCCCGGCTCCTCCTGCAGCCAAAAAATAAGGGAATATGTGGTGCTGCCTGTAGGAACCTGCAGGATTCAGCCCGGCTGGGGTGCAGACAGACAGCAGGAGAGGCTCCCACCCAGCTGGGCTCCTGGGGCTGTGGGCTTTCAAGTGCAAATGATTGACATTAAAGGCAGGGAGAGCACAGTGAAAATGGAAGAAGAGGGGGAGGGACAAGATTAAACTCTGACAAAAGGGGTCAGCCCTCTGAGCCAGCTCTTCTAAGACACCTGGTAGCTCCGTCTTCTGTGGCTTGTTGCTTTTCTAGAACAAATTTCTCTGTTCTGAGACAGAAGCTGTTTCCTTGAGGGCTGCCAGTTCCTCCTGGGAGAGCTGGGCTCTGTCTTCCCTGTCCCATCCACCAGCACCCTACAGAAATATCACAGAGACAGAAAACTCAGTTGGTGCCCGTGCAGAAGTTTGTTAGGACAGAGCTCCCTATTCTTTTCCAAACCTGCATGGACTTTGTGGTTTTAGTAGGAATAGCAACAGGCGGGAAGTTCATTTGCCTTTTATTCCTCGTCCTTCCTTGTATAGTGAAAATGAGGGTAGTTTAATGATGTATTTTCATCCACTTGTTCCTCTCCTCTGACCACTCATTTTTACCTACTGTGGATCCCAGCATCGTGCTACTTCATGCTCTGTCCTACTGCCCATCCCTTGCATGATGCAGATACATGACTCCTGGGGTCTCAAGGGTAATCTCACCTCAATTATCTAATGAGAAAGGTTGAGGGCATTAAGGTCTCTCTCAAAGCATTTTTGGCCTGAAACAAAACCTTGCCTTCTGTTAAGAACAAATTGTTTTGGAAACAAAGGATTCTCTTCCAATCCTTTGCTTATTCCGTCAAAACCAGGGAATCCTACAGTGTAACACACACATCAAGCAGGAAAGCTAAGTTTTGATTGGATTTCCTAGTAGAAATCTCACTTCCAGAGATTTCTTATTAAGCTATGATGGGGCAGAGCGATGGTCATTGACAGGAGATGTGCACATGGCCTGGTTGGTATGAGATGGAAACCCAAGAGAAAAAATTAAAGCAACAGCCACAGGAGATCAGACTCATTCCTGTGGGAATGAGCTCCAGATCTTTGTTTTTTTTTCCACGGGGTGAAGTGCTTCTGCTGCCGCTGGGTCCTCGGGGTTGAATCACTCACTGTGGGCAAGCCCCACTCCAAAAGCGGGCGTTGCTGTTTAATCCTGCGAGCAAAATATGACATTTTTACAAGCTAGATCTGTCTGCAGCCATTAGAACTGAAGGTGTTTATCCCTGTGGGCTGTGTGACTCCTGGGCTGGGACCTTTCACAAGAGCAGACACCCTGCTCGGTGCCACCCCGAGTCCAGCCCTGCTGCTGACGGACGGGTCCTGCCTTGGCAGGGGAGCTTGGATACCTCTTTTTATGGCTTTTTTTTTTTTTTTTTTAACTTTTTGCAGCATCTGGGGGTGGTTTCCTAAAGTCTAAGCTGCTTTTTCTGCCTCCTGCTTCTGCCAGGGTGGCCCCAGGCAGGCAGCTGGGGAGGAGGGGAGTGGGACATTGGCTTTTTTTTTTTTTTTTTTAACTTTTTGCAGCATCTGGGGGTGGTTTCCTAAAGTCTAAGCTGCTTTTTCTGCCTCCTGCTTCTGCCAGGGTGGCCCCAGGCAGGCAGCTGGGGAGGAGGGGAGCGGGGTGGCGTGGATGTGAGCACCCAGTTTGTGAGCCCAGAGCAGCCCCCTTTCTCTCTGGCCCTGTGTTAGCCCAGAGACACCTTCCCAAGGCCACCTGGACCTCAGCTTTGGCCATATTTATCGTGACCCACTCACATGGAGACAGGCTTGGGTAAGGCAGTGTCTGTGCTCTCTCAGCCCTCAGTGCAAGCGACCTTAATCCTGCCTAAACCCCATCCCAAACCCCTTAAACCACTGCAAAGCCCCAGGTAGGTGGCAGAGCTCCCTCCCCAGCTGTGCTGGGCTTCCAGCCATCCCCACCTGGTGGCCAAGGGGCTGTGGGCTGTCATTGTCCCCATGGGGTGTACAAGCCACATAGTGGCTCACCAGTCCTGTGCCCGCTGCCAGGGATGGAAAGAGGCACCAGACTCAGATTGGGCTCAGAAACAACATTTTGGGCTCCTTCTCTCTCCTGGAGCCAACGCATGTGCAACACGGTGTTGGCTGAGCAACCCTGCTGGGTTTGGGGTCAGACCTCAGCCCCTGTGGCTTCTCCTCCCTGATGCCCAGGTTTTGCATCCCTGCTGGCCAGCCCGGGACTCATGGAGTTAATGGCTGAGCTGCAAACAAGCATTTCCCTGCTTTCCTGAAGTGCAGCTGATCAGACCTCATTTTCTCGCATTCCTCGGATTCCTGACCTGGGTCAGTGCCATTCCCTGGGCTGGTGCACACCTTTATTGGGGGGGGTATGTGAAACGATGCAGTTTTTGCAGAAGGACACCCTCCCCTTCTGTCCGTGTGAAACCAAAGCTCTGCCCCTGCCCATTTGGGGAGGAATGACCAGCCTGGGTCTGGGTCTGGCTCTGGGTCCTGTCAGCAGGAGCCTGTTTAATATTCACAACGCCGCCTCGAAAAGCTGATTGTGCTGCGAGGTCAGTGTTGAAAACGACCCAGTGCAACCTTATCTTAATGCTGCAAGCAGTTAATTAACATCAGTAAATTGTTTAGTGCAGTTGCCTCCATGGGTCAGCCCCTCTCCCTGAAGAAAGCCTGCCTTGGTTTGGGATTAATTCAGCTGTTAGGAACAACAGCGCTTGGTTTATCAGCAAAGTCTGTCTCTAGATGCCCAACGCTGAAAGCCAGGATTGAGGGAAAGATATTTTTGGCGAAGGAAATAAAATGATGCTTTTGAGCTAATCTGTTAGTGCAGCTTTTCAGCGAACATGGCTCTGGGGGAGATGTCCCCACAGCCCCAGGAGATGGTGCAGGTGGGAAGGGATGGACTGGAGCAGCAGCAGGTCCCATGGTCCCATGTCACCTGTCCCCATCCAGCAGTGCCAGGGAAGACTTTGCTTATTGTACTGGAAGCACTTGCACAAAACCCCATCTCATGTGGGTCCTGGGGTGCAGGAGACCCAATTTCTGGTTCAGACCTCATCATCTGCAGTGGGGTCACTCACACTCCTCGAGTCGAGACATACTGAAGGTTGAAACTTATCATTTGGCTTTACCAGAGCTTTAGTTTCAACACCAATCTGCACTACAGACATTTTCTAATCATCTGCAGTGGGGTCACTCACACTCCTCAAGTCGAGATATACTGAAGGTTAAAACTTATCGTTTAGCTTTACCAGAGCTTTAGCTTCAGCATCAATCTGCACTACACAGTCGTTTTCTGATCACATACAAGTTTATTACAGAAATAAACCACCTTTGTTAGGAGAGGTGTTCAGCGTAACACCCTGACAGCATCAGCTGGGTCCAAAAGATGCGAGAAGAGTCCGAAAGGGAACGAAATGGCCTTGTCTCAGATTTGCATCTCTCTTGTTCTGGGCAGCATTTCTGGGTTTGCTGCTGAGACACAGTCTGTGTTTCACTTCATCCTGAACGTGGGTGTTTGTCTTCTAACCCGGGCTGGAGGGAGCAGCTGGGCAGCAGAGGAGGCAGCAGGACCCTCTGCAGCCCCTCGCCCATGGGTGCTGTACAAGGAGCACTTGTGCAGGGGGGGAGCATTGCTGAGCCCCCTCCAGTGCTCACAGCTTTGCCAGTGGCAGCGGTGGCTTTTAGGAGGCACTTTCATGGGGCAGATGAGTGCTCAGGCCTTGGAGGCTTTGAGAAAGTTAAAAAACAAAAACAAAATGCAAAATGCTAAAGGAGCAGCAGAGTCCTGCAGTTCTTCCCGGAGAGGTTTTATCCACAGGCAGCCCCCTTTTAAAATAAGCCAAACCCCCAATTCCGTGGCTTCCCTGTTGCGATGAATCCCCAAATGTATTAAAGACCTTGTAGGAGAACATGCCCCATCCACGTGCTGAGTGATGCTTTATATAAATAGCTCATATACACTTGCTATATACAAAATATTATGTACATGGGGCACTACTTTGTTTGGTGTGAAGCTCCAAACCCCTCTCGTGGCGCCGCTCCCAAGATGGTGGGGCAGGAGATCACAGCAGAAGATGCTGATGGTTGTGCTGCCCGAGGACAGGCAGTGAAGGCACGTGGATCCGGGATGAAAAGCCCCTTTTCCAGCAGCCCCGTGGCTCATGGGGCTATTCCTTCAGCAGACCCAGCTTCTTCAGTGCCTCTCGCCGGTTCTCATCGGTTGCCCCCTTGGGGGAAATCTTCACACTGACACTGGAGCGGGGTGGCTTGGGAAAGCTCTGCAGTGGGTGGGATCGCCGCTTGCTGCTCTTCTCTGGCTCCACATGAGCCTTCTCCAGCTCCTTCAGCCCAGCAAAGTCCTTCCCTGCCACCATGGATGTCGGCCGGGGCCGGCTGCTCCTGAGGAAGCTGGGGGCAAGCCGCTCGATGAAGGACATCTTGCCCAGGGAGCTGCTGGTCTTGACGTTCTGCTCCTTGGCACTGGTCATGTAGCTGCTCAGCCCCACACCGGAGCGCTCCAGGGTGTTGGATTTGAAGTTCATCTGCCGGATACCTGGAACCAACCTCTCCACTGGCCCACGGTGTCCCTCAGGCTCACCAGTGACCTGGAATGGCATCTCCCTTGGTTGGGGTTGCACGGTAGGTTGAAGGTGGGTGCTGGGGTCCCTCCTGTCCTGTGACAGTCCAAGCTTCTCCAACGCCTCCCGCCGGGCTTTTTCCCTCTCTTTGGGGTCAAGATGCCCTGAATTTGCTTTTTCAGCAGCAGTATTGCTGGCAGAGCTGGACTGAGAGCTGCCCGAGGACAGTGGTGGTGCTTTTACCTTCTGGCCAGGCTCCGTGGCGAGTGGCACTGGGCTGTTTTTGCTGGTTCTCAGGATAATATTTGGTGGCAATTTCCGTGGCTTGGGGGCAGTTGGAGGCCCGCGCTTGGCATCTGGGTCCTGAGGGGCCTCTTCCAATGTGGATTTCTCTGGCTGGCCCCATGAAGTCCAAGTCTTGGTCTCCTTGGCTGAGCAATTGCTCCGTGACCACTCGAGGCTCACCAGGTCATCCTGGAAGGGGTCTGGAGGTTCAATGATCAAAGATTCCAGGGACTTCATCTGGCTTCTTGCGTTGGCTTGGTCAAGCCTGTCCTCCTTGGCCATGTCCTGTGAAGATTTACCTACTGGCACTGGGTCCTCCACCATGCAGACAGTCGCTTTGCTGTCAGAAGCTCTGTTTGCTCTTTGTGCATTTGCCACGGTGATGTTCCTTGGAAGACTGTAATAGCCTGGGCTTGGAACTGCTGCTGGAGCCGAGCTTGAGAAGGAGGAGATGCTCTTACCGCTCTTCTGTTCAGTTGCATGCTGCGGACCTGTGCTCAGATGGGGAGTCCCATTTTCCAAATCTGGGCAAAGAGAGAGATGTGAAGTCAGGCACCATTCTGCAGACGGACACAGGACACCGAGCTGTGGCACTTTCCCCTGACCACGGCCAGGCAAGTCAGATACTTTGGCTTTGACAGAGCACGTGGTGAACGAGGAGCCTTGACAACCTGTGTGAGCCTGTTCGGAGCGTGAGCAAAGATGCTCTGCCCCACGGTTCTGCCGACCTTGCCAGGCAGCTCCTGCATGTGAGAACTGGGAAAATGCAGCTGGTGCCCCACCAGTCTCGCTGCCTACAGCCACGGCTCACCACCGGTGACGAACACAAGCTGGCTTAACCTACCACGTGAATAAAACTGGGGCAACGCTCCCTCCCTGCCTGCCAAGGGAACGCACCCTGCCTGGAAGTCCCTTTGCAAACAAGGCTGGAATGTGGTTTTCCATCTTACCCCGGGGAATGGAGTCTCTCTTAGGCCACGTCCGGGGCTGCTTGGAGGGTTCCACGTGGTCGGTCTCATCAGTTGAGACCCCACTGTCTGCTTCTGTGTCCAGTGAGCCAATCGTTTCTTCTAAGAACATCAAACACTCTTTCTCTTCCACAGATAAGTAGTCGTAACTGTTATCACTCTGGAAACGACAGAAGCAGGAAAGAGGGTAAGAAAAGAAGGAAGGCAGGAGACACAGGTGTGTTATTATTCACAGCCTTGAGAGTTGAGGAGGGACCTGTGACAGCTCCTGGCCGGGAGGCTTGGCCAGTGACTAGTCAAAAATTGGTACTGACAGAAAAGGAAACAACTTCCCATAAATATATATATATTTACTTAAGGCCATTTTTATATTTCCCTACTATGAGCACTAGAAGATGGGTTAACTTGGAAACTTGGCCTGTATCTTTGGTGATCTATGGGTACAGACTTCTATGCTGGATCTTAGAAGCTTGTCAAAATAGCATAAATATTGAAGGTTTATTCAGTGGGTGGTGGTCCCTCTCCTTGTTCTCCCACTCATACCCCAGCAAGATCCCGTTTCTATTGTATCTCAAGTCAGTGAGATTCGATTGCAGTAGAAGTGGCAGGTTAAAAGGTGATACATGGGATATATCATGAAAAAACCTGAAGTGCAGGAAAGGATGGAGGGTACATCAGATCAACAAGCACAGAGGAGAAATTGTCCCAGGCGGAGCTGTTTTGCAGACAGACACCTATCCAAATCTTTGACCATGCAATATCGCAACCAGTTTTTCCATCCCTAATAAATTTCAGAGGGTTTGGTTCTGGTTTGTAATACATCAAATGGAAAACCTGTTCAGGACTGAGCGTTGCACTTGCACATATCAATTACGCTCCAAGTCAGACAGGATGTAATTAGTCCATCAATCTTGGAATCAGTGTTTGGAGACAAACAAGCTTTAGTGGACAGATAGTGAAAAATTACACATCTACACCCATGGTCCACACTCCCCTCTGCCTTAACTAGGAAATTAATCTCTTGTCAGCTGGGAGGAGCATGGATCGCTGTCCTTTCCAGGTGAAGTCACCCTCGCTGGAGCCAGTCTGACCCAGTTTATCCAACTGGTCTAATCCCTCAACCGGGGAACTTGCTGGGCTCCTCCTGCCCAGTTCCTGCACCATCAGCTCCAGGCCAGGCAGGAGCCCTGGGCTCTGGCTATCATTCCCTGAGGAGACCCTGCAGGAGCTCAGGTTCCTGGTCGCTGCCACACACGTGGCAAGATGGAAAGTCTGGGAGTGCTTTGGGGCAGGAATTAATTTGGTCCTTGCGCTGCCCTCGGCAGGATGCCATATCAGGGCCCCCAGGCGCTTCCAAAGCACCGATGGAGGATGGTTTTGAGGAGAGATCTGACCAAAATCCTTTCTCAGCTGCTGAGAGGGGGGCGAGTTGTGCCCAGGGTGGGCACAAGAGGGTCACTTACCCGCTGCGAGTGGTTGGAGGCCGTGCTGACCATGCTGTCGCAGCTGCCGGAGTTGCAGCCAGCCATCCCCAGCTCCTTCCTAGGCATATCACAGCCTGGCACGGGGGGCAATATCCCGGCTGAAGCAGAAGACAGGAGAGGGGTTAAGCTCCAAGACCCACCCCCAGGTGATGAAGGCACGATGGCTCAGCTGCAGGGAGGGCAGGGGGACCGTGAAGCTGCTGGATGGATGCAAACTAAGATGGGAGCTCCATCTTAGGCTGTTCTCTCCAGGAAAAGGGGTAGCTGGGCTTTTTTAGAGCATTTTAGCTGTTCAAAAGACGGGTTGACATGATGCTGGGGGATGTGGTTTAGTGATGGTTTTTTCAGAGTTAGGTTGACGGCCGTACCTGAAGGGAGCCTACAGGAAGGCTGGGGAGAACCTGTTTAGAAAGGCCTGCAGTGACAGGACGAGGGGCAATGGCTTCAAGCTGGAGATGAGGAGAGGGTTCTTCACTGTGAGGGTGGTGGCGCACTGGAACAGGTTGCCCAGGGAGGTGGTTGAGGCCCCTTCCCTGGAGATATTCAAGGAGAGGCTCGACGAAGCCCTGGGCAACCTGGTCTAGTTGGGGGTGTCCCTGCTGCCTGCGGGGGGGTCGGACTAGATGGCCTTTGGAGGTCCCGGGCAATTCTATGATTCTATGATCTTGAAGGTCCCTTCCAACCTAGATAATTCTATGATTCTATCCTTGGAACTGAAGTTTTCCCCAAAGCAATAGGAAACGGAGTCAGCTCTGGACCTCCTCCCCACAGCTGAATCACACTGGTGGGTATCTAATCATCTTGGAGGTGTGGATAAGGAGGTTCCTGAGCAAAGGAAGAAGCTGTAAGCCAGGCAGCAGCAATCCCATTCCCAAGCCCCATCCCAGCTCTGACGAACAGGACCTCTGCCCCCCTCCACACCCTCCCCTCCCAGCTACACCCCTGAAGAGCTCTCAATCTCCCCGACACACTGGCCCGAAATGTGATTCAGTCACCGCCGTGCTCTGCTGGGACCTTCCTCCTGGCGAGGACCTTCCTCTGCCAGCCTTGCCCGGGGGCCACCGAGGTGTCATGGCCATGGGGAGGTGCCCCAGCCCTTTGGGGTGCGCCTGGGTGTGTTTGGGCACACGCCTGGCATGGTTTGCATGGAGCAGGGCTGGGCTAGGAGCCGTGCCCAAGTCTTTGGCCACCCCGGGGGGGGTTGCAAGCAAGGTCAACCTCCCCCCTGGCTCATGGTGATGCATCTTTGATGCTCCCCTGGATGCAGCCCGTACCCCCAGCACCCATGGGACCCGAACACCGTGACGGCTGCCTGACAAACAACCAGCCATGGGGGTTCCCAACAGCCAGACCGTCCCCGGGGGCGGAGGGGACAGTTATGCTCTGAGGGTGCCTGGCCAAGAGAGAGAGCTCCTGCCTGCGGGGGAGAGGCTGAGCAGCCTACAAAAGGCCTAATTACCCCTGGACGTACAGCATTAACCTTCCAAAATTCACTGCCACCACCAATTAGGTGTTTTCCCCACCCATTCTTGGGGAGAGAACTGGGCTGAGGAGGGCGGCTAAACAAACACCCCCTCCAGCACCCCCGGACCCACACAAGAGGATTTGCTCATCAGGAGACAGAGGAGCCCTTTGTGCTGTAACCTGGCTGGAACGCACTGCTGCTGGGTTGGTTTTTGTTTTTTGTTTTTTTTTTTCCCTTGTAGCAGGATCAGGGAATTAGATCCAGCGATAAGCGAGCAGAACTGGCTGCTTGTTCAGAGGGTTAGACCCTGAAAGAATTCCTTTGTAATTGGAATATGCCGCAAAATTTAGATTTCAACACCCACACCCTGACAGATCCGATCCTTCCGCACAGGAGGAGTTTAATATTTCGGTCTCAGCTTTGCATTATTTGCTGCTTCAATTTCATTTGAGTAAATGGTGATTTTAGAAGAGCAATACCCTTGATTCTTTGCATTTGGGTAACTTTATAGCCAGAGCTTTTAGCTGTTGGGAAGCAGAGATATTGTCTGAGTTTGGGGGTGTTTTTAGGCTTCTGCAAGCTGCGGGGTTTTGCTGTGCACCCGAATATTTGTGATGTGAAATATGAATCTATTTCCAAGCAGCAAGAGGTTATTTATTGCCTGTGTGGTCAGGATTGCTGCAATGCTCCTCAGCACCTCCTGTCCTGCCCCACACATCCGAGAGAGCAAAACCCTCCTGGGGAACCGAAAGTCTTGCTCAAACTTGGCTCCTGCAGCTGGAGCAGCTGGTGGGTGCCAGTGTCCCCTGTCCCCTCTCCAACCAGGGGGCTCGGAGGAGAGAATTCCTCCATCAGGATGCTCACCATCATTGGAAAAAATAATTTTCTCTGGCTCAAGGGGCATTTGCAGAAACGTAAAGTGGCTGCTCAGGGTTTGGCACCCACCGAGCCCCAGCTCACAGGGAGGCAAAGTTCACCCGGAGCCCATCGGAGGCTGGAGAGGATCTACACAGAAACAAGAAGTTCATTTTCCTGCCCAGTAGTTCTCTGATGCAACTCCGGCTCTAACGCGTTCATCCAGCTCGGGGAAGGGAATAAAAATCAGTGCTGAAAAATCCCAGTTTTTATGATTCAGAAGGATTTTGCTGTTCCTTCCTTTTACCGAACAACTCACAGAAGTTCAGCCACAAACTAAAATATATGACTGAGCCTTTAAATTAAAAGACGTGGCACTTGAAAACCTGTCTCTCAATGGCGTATGTGTCTTCCCCCACTAAAAATGCTTTTAGAAGAAACTACTTTTTACCTAAAACTAAAGGCCAGTTCACGCAGGTTTGTGACAGCTGTAACTGTCCTTTGGGAAGCTCCCTGAGCCCTCGGACATCAAAGAGGCACTGGGTAGCAATTAATGCTAATTGCTTTATATGAAGAGGCTACTTTCTTTTAAGCCCAGTACTACTGCAAGCGTTGTACCCCAGCTCTCCAGCGCTGGTACAGACCCGGGGTATTCCTGCTGCCCGAGGCAGAGCAGTTGTACCCCCCCCACCTCACAACTGCTGGCAAAGGCTTTGACCCAGCCAGTTTGAAAGATAAAACCAAGTAAAAAACACCCTTTGCAGGTCCCATCCCAGCAGCTCCCGCTCTGCAGCCGCACAGCGGGATGGGTCCCACCTCGGGGCGAAAGGCGGCGATGGCAGCAGAGGGATTTAAACAAGAAAATCAAGCGCAGGCAGCAGCTGCCCGAGCTGTTTTCGTCTCCCCCCCGACAGCTTGGTCTCCCCAGCTTCCCTCCCGCCACCACCTTCAAACCACCTCGTCCATCTTGGCTGGTGCCACCTCCCGTGACACCTCCACCACTTTCCCCTGCCAAAGCAAAGCGCCTCCGTACCCCTGTGGGTGCTGGAGCCCCACGTCCCACCCGGGCAGAGGCTCAGCCCCTCACCCACAGCCCACGCAGCAGGAACAGGGACAGAAAGCAAAGGACGAGAAGGAAGAGAGAATATGATATTATTTTCTTTTTTTTTTACCAGGACGTCCGTCGCTCCACGCCGTCCAGATCCTTGTCCCAGCCGTGCCTATCCCAGGACTTCTTTGCTTTTCTGGGCTAACCAAACAGAGCCGGGTTACACATTAACTCACCTGCCCGGCAGAGATAAGGCTGTGCGGGTGCTCGGTGGGTGCTGGCAGGCGAGCCCCCCCCCCCCCAACCCCTCACCTGCAGCCTGCGGCACTGGGGAGAGGGAAACTCATCCCACCATCCCTGCCAGGCTGGGGTGCCAGCACCCCCCAAGCCCCTAAAACAGCTTTGTGTGCTGACCTGGAGCAGCTGGGTGCCTGCGCGGTGTGCCGGCTCGCAGCCCTGCCAGAGCGGCTTTGCTTGCAGGCAGGAGTGCAGGCAGAGAAACAGGCAGCACAGGCAGAGGTGCAGGCAGCGCAGGGAGAGGTGCAGGCAGCGCAGGCAGCACAGGTAGAGGCACAGGCAGAGGCACCAGCAGCACAGGCAGAGGTGCAGGCAGCGCAGGCAGCACAGGCAGAGGCACAGGCAGCGCAGGCAGAGGTGCAGGCAGCGCAGGCAGAGGTGCAGGCAGTGCAGACAGCACAGGCAGAGGCACAGGCAGTGGGTGCAGGCAGCGCAGGCAGCACAGGCAGCACAGGTAGAGGCACAGGCAGTGGGTGCAGGCAGCACAGGCAGAGGCAGAGGCACAGGCAGCGCAGGCAGAGGCACAGGCAGCACAGGCAGAGGCACAGGCAGAGGCACAGGCAGCACAGGCACCGCAGGCAGAGGCACAGGCACCGCAAGCAGAGGTGCAGGCAGCACAGGCAGAGGCACAGGCGGTGCAGGCAGCGCAGGCAGCCCGTGCCCGGGAGGCTGCGGGCAGCTCTGTGCGGTACCACCCAGCTCCCTGCCTCACTTCCCGGCCGGGCTGGTGTCCTCTGATGTCCTCAGCACGGGTTTCGCCGGAGACTCCTTAATCCGGCAGCCTGTTCTGCCACATAGCTGCTGGCTGACGGGCGCGGGAGCCCAGCACACAGCCCTGACCGAAGTGCTTCTGTACATAATAATAATTAAGCCCTTCGCCAGGTGATTGCGCCGGGTGCCGCTGAAGGCATTACCCCACAACTGGTTTATTCTCTCCCGTGGTTTTGTGCCCCAGGTCCCTCAGCTCGGGGGTAGGACCCGGTTCCTTCTCAGCAGTGAAAACACAGGTCGTTACCAGAACAAGTACGTACTTGCACAGCACCAGAACTTTGCCAGGGACAGAAAGTTTGCCGCCCGCTGCCGTACACTCTAAGATTCTTGTAAAGAGAGGTAAAAAGCCATTTTAGAAGGGAAGCTTCAGCACTAAGCTTTATTCACGTGTTAGAGGAGGGGGTACCAAGGTCATGCATGTTCTACTCCCCAGCTGCAGCCCCCCTTCATCACTCCTGGCATCGTTCCCTGCAGGCACTGAGCCCCTCTGAGCTTCCCCTGCAGGGAACGATGCCAGGAGAAACTGGCTGGAAGCTCTTCTCTTCACTGGACAGCTTGAGGCTGAGTCCTCAAGCCTGGGTAAAGCCAAAGCCCCCGAGACACCCGTCGCCCTCCTCACTCACAGAACCTGCTGCTGGGACACATCCCTCAGAAGTGTCCCCTCCTCAGGGAACAGGGGTGCCACCACTGCTGCTGTTCTCCGTGGAAAGGCAAAGAACAGCCCAGTTATTCCACCTGCAGCACTGGGTGACACCAACCCCCTGCACCCCATCTGCCCAGGGGGTGCTGCAGAAGCAGCTGAAAGAGCTGCAGTGACTCATTGTTACCCCAACTTTGGGCCCTTCTGGTAAAATGACAGCTTTTCTCTCTGATAAACAACACTTAGATCATTGCTCCCCCCCAGCATGGACTGGTATCTGCTCTGCAAGGTGCTCTTCACTGAATAAATATCCAAGCAGAAACACCACAGCAAACTTGCAGAATTAGTACAGCCAGCAGATTCAGTCAAGTTGTCATGCTTCAGTGATTTTTATTTATTTTCCTTGGGTTTGGTTGGGGTTTTTTTTAGAAAAAAAGGCTGTGTTGCAACATGTGTTCCCACAAAACAGGGAAGTGGAAACATCTGGTGTTTAAAGCCATGGGAGGATGGGAGAAAGCAGAGGGTGCCATCAGTGGGGCAGAGCCCCAGCTGTGCCTGGTTAGGAAGGAGAAGGAGAAAAGGAAGGGGAAGGGATGTGCTGAGGAGTAAATCAGGAAGGCAGAGACTCTGGGAGCCCCATCTCCCCTGGCCTGCAGCAGAGGTAAGGGGGGGTGAGAGTGGTGTGTTTGAGTGGTCGCAGACCTGAGTGTGGGGTTTGGTGCAAACACTCCTGGTGACCCTGTTTAAATCCCTGCACCACGACTGGTGTGGTACTGGGTGGTGCAGGGATTTAAACAGGGTCAGATTCACACTGGGTTTGTCAAGTTGTGCTTAATTCCAAACCTACTTTGAAGAGAGGGAGCAAATCAAACCCAGGACTTATTTTCTTATTGTATATGAAACCCCACGTTTCAAGACTAGGTTGGACGGGGCTTGGAGCAACCTGGTCTGGTGGGAGGTGTCTCTGCCCAGGGCAGGGGGGGGGCCTGGGAGGGCTTTAAGGTCCCTTCCAACCTGAACCATTCCATGACTCTATGAATGAGTGACCCCTCCAGGACAGGGTGACTGTGTCCTGGGAGCTCAGGGCTTAGATCTGTGCAGTGGAATAGGTAGAGCTCGCTGCCCGCAGGGCTGTGAGCAGGTCAGGAAAATGTCACGATCCATTAAGAAAAGTCTTGAGCTTCTCTGAATCAGCTGCCCAGAAAGAACCAGGCCTTTTAGTGAAAAGTCCACCAGCTACAGCCTCCTGACAGGTTTGTCCTTGTCCTCAGCTTTCTCCTCTCTTTCCACAGCCTGCACCCACTGCTTGGTTCTCCATTTCTCTTGTTCTGCTTTTTTTTTTTTTTTTTTTTTTTTTTTCCATGTTCCTCTTCCTCCAATGAATATAAATAGCTACAAACCCAAAATAAAGCGTGATTTCATATAGGCGGCATGAAGTATATGCAAGGAGTCAAATGATGCAGAGAAAGCTCCCCGGTGCTGTGAAAGGACTTTGGCATGTTAACAGACCCGTTGTGCCTCACCCTCTTCATAAACAAAGGAAGACAAATGATTCAGTCCTGGCCCTGAAGGAAACTCATCCGTCCGGCGTCACCGATAAGATACCTGTAAACGCAAAGACATTTGACTCTGTAGGACCGTCGGACACTTTCCTTTGACCAAATTGTGTGTGGAGCAGGCATGCTGACAAATCAGTTATGGAAAATACTAGGTAGTTAATACCTAGCGTTACGCAGCAGTCTAGAGAAATAATTAAATCTTAATAAGGCTGGGAACGGAGCAAGGAACCCGACTGGTGAGCCCTATTTTGCAGAGAAGAGGTAGAGAGCTGAGGTGATGCCTTTCCCCAGCTTGGGTAGCATTAACTCTGCGTCAGAAATGAGGAGTCAGCTCTCAAGGTATCACACGGTTCCCCAGGGCTTTAATTAAAATTAATAGACCAGGACACTGCAATCTTGGAGAACCCAGTTTTGTTCCCTCCCCTGTTGCGTTCTTTAGTAACTGAAAGCGTTTGGGTGCTCACACTCAAAGAAGTGAAACAGTGGTACTGATTTCAGCCAGTTTGAAGGAATTTCATCCTGCCCAGTCGGGAGCAGAGTAAAACCCGACGGCAGCTCTACGGCTGGACGCAGGTGGGTTTAAAATGCAGGCAGACATCTAATTCGTATGATAAAGAGTTGTAATTTTCAAAATAGCGAGCTGGAATTCTTTTACTCCTCTTATTAAAGAGTTTTGGGGGGTTTTTTTAGGTTTTGCCCCTCCTATTAAAGAGCTTCCCAGTGTCAGGCTGGTTTCTCAAAATCCCCATCGATTCAGGAATGGCTGTTTAAGGCAGAGACGTTTGGGATTTTCTTCCTTTGCGTCTGCCCCCTCCTGCTGCTCCCCCAGAAGTCGGGAAGGGCGAATGGATAACGCTGCTTAGATCAAAAATGTTTATAAAAATGAGTGGATCCTGCGTTGCCAGCGCAGTCTCTGGTGGCTTTGTGGCCACGGGGTGGGTGAGGGGTGCAGCGCGGTGACACCGTGGAACAGGGCTCTGGGCAAAGCGGGACGGGCACAGAAGACGCTGCTCCCAAACTGTCACAAGCAGCCTCTGCTCCGACCCCGCAGGCAGAAAGGTGCAGAGTGAAGACGCTGATTCTGCACCGTGTCACAAGATGTTCCCTTTCTCAGTCCTCACCCCAGCAGCTGCTCTTTTTACGTAAGTTTTTCCAGAACTGAGGAATTCAGTTTTTCCTTTGGAATATTACTGATTTACTCCCGAGACCAGTCTTTCAGGCAATTGCATCCACGAAGCAGATATGTACCCTACTGAGCCCAGATCTTCCTGTCTACTTAACAATTTATGTATTTAAATACATAAAAGATTCAGGAGGTATGTAAAAGCCTCTTCAAGGTTTTCCTCTTAATACCAGACTCCAATTACATGGAGAAAATAGTTTACTATTTAAAAAAAAAAAAGAAGTTCTTGCTGAACAAGCTGGAAGTGAAGAAGGTTCATCCTGAACAGGTTGTGTGGCCGCATCCATCTCGCTGTGGCTGAGTGTCAAGGGAAAAAGGGGCTGAGGTGGAGGGAAAGTGGATGGAAACGCCTCAAAGGTGGCAACGCCTTGATGGGAAGGCTTGGAAAACGCACTGGGGAGCAACAGCAAACGGGGCCCAAACCTGAAATTCAAGAAGGGAGGCAGAGGCTGGGCTGGACGGGCACACAGCACGCACGTTTATTGGGGCATCAACAATTTTTGCAACTGAGGGCACGTGTTTGAGGAGCTGTGTCATAGTCACTGATCCGAACTGAGGACACACACACCAGGAGGCTGCTCCACAGAGTCATGTTGGGAACTAAAGGCTTTTAGAGAGGGTCACTGTGATGGGAACTCACCACCAGCTGTGGTGAAAAGCATAGATACACACCAGGAGGCTGCTCCACAGAGTCATGTTGGGAACTAAAGGCTTTTAGAGAGGGTCACTGTGATGGGAACTCACCACCAGCTGTGGTGAAAAGCATAGCTCAGCATCAGCTCAAGCTGTAAACTCAGACCAGCTTTCAAAGTGCTGTTACAACCATGGGATTTATCTCTTCGCACAATATAACACGTTTGTGAAAGGCCACATGATCAGATCATGTGAGGCTCTTTAATTAAAGGAGGAATTTGGTGCTGGAGGAAGGGCCAGACTGGCACCAGGAAACTGAAGATCCAGAACTGCATAAATTGATAAAACACTACCAATAAGCACAGCTTTGAGGCAACAATCACAGTTTCCAGGGCCCATGTGGTTACTGATCTCCTGCTGAAGTGCTCAGAGAGGAAATGAGTGCTCTTTTTAAATAGGAGTAAGAGTAATGGTAAGGACACACACACCTCCATCTCTCACAGGCTTTCTGGTTGGGTCTGGGCAGGCGACACAACTCCCCGCCAGTACCTGCACCTACATCCCACACCTCTGCTCTAAAACACCTGTAATTAACATCTTGCTGTGTAATTACTAACAGATCTGTGCAAATGTATCTCTGATGTTCAGTGGTTCATCCCACTAGTACCAGGATGCTGGTTTTGTGATATTTCCATAATTGTGTCATTAAGAGCAGGCAAAAGCTGGTAACAGACAGTAAACCCAACCCTACCATTTACAAAAGAGAGGGAGTTGTACCTTCAATGTATCTGCATCTTACGCTTCAAATAATGTGGATTCTTTCTGTTTGGGAGAGTTTAGGGGAATCCCATGTGGCTTTTGGACTCGGGGTCAGTCCCACAGCTCACTTGCTCTTTGGAAAAGTTTGCCAGCGTGTAACGGTCTCAGCTTTGACGAGGATGAATTACAGCAGTTCAGTTGACTTTTTTTTTAACCAAAGAGATTTTATTTTCTAGGCAACGAAAGAAAACATCCAAGCAGTGATATTGACACATCTCCCTCAAACAGAACTGATGCTCTCTCAGCAGATTTCCAATGCAACCATGATACAGCGAAGCTAAACACTCCGGATTAAATACGCTAATTTTAAAAATACTGCAACTGAGAAATACCAACAAAAATAGGTTTGTTTTTTTTTACACGCTTTCAGAAATCCATCCAGGATACAAAGCTCAAATCTAAGTGTTGCTCCCCAAAGTCAATGCCTTTGCAAACATGGCAGACAATAAATACACATCTTCCACCTCTGTTTCAGACACCCAAAGGCCTTCGCACCTCTCTGAGGTAGGTATTATGCCCATTTTACAGATGGCAAATGGTGAGGATCAGCTCCTTGTCCCAGGCGTCTCGGTGTGAGAGCTGCGAGTACGACTTAGGACTGACAGTCTCTTGGTCTCATTCCTAGACAGTATTTCATCTCAAGTAGTTATAACACAGTGTAATCTTCAAGTTCCTTTGAACTCTCAGGTATTTCTTTAGGTTTATAAGCATCAGCTTCTAGAGGGCTGGTTTTAATGGTGGGGTTTTGGTGTGTTTTGGTTTTTTTTCCTAATGACAGGCTAAAAGCAAAGTGGGGTTTAAAACACTGGAAGCGAAGTGGCTTTCTATAGGAAACTCCCAACAGCTCTAATGTGTATCTTAATACTGAATTTAAAAGAAACCTGGTCCGTAGTGCTCTTGGTGATTCTATTCTTGATTAATTATTCATGCTGCAATTCAGCAAAGCACTTACTTATGTAATTATGTTCCATTTTCAATAAGACTCTCCTGTATTTCAAGGTCCAACTGGGAGCCTCTGCTGAGAACTTCAGCGAAACGTGCTTTTTATAGAAAAGAAGATTTTGCTGCAGCAGGAGTTTAGCCAGAATGGAGGCCTTTGAAACTAGATCTTAGGTTTCCACTTGGAAGGTGGGTTTATTTCTGCCTCAGGCCGAAGATGCACGTTCTTGCTCCCCATTTGTAAAAGTGCAAGGAAGGTACCTCAAAACAGAGTAACAGAAGAATAGCAGGCTACGAGTATTTTGAAATTCAGTGAAACACGTATGTGTTGCAGGCATTTCAAAGAAAAAAAAAAATCCCTTTCAGTAATATGCACCTTTACAGCACCTTTTAAAAGACCTCAAAAGCACTTACTGTTAAGCCTCACGACCCTGCTGTGAGGTAAGAGACATTAAACCAATTCCACCATCCCTGATTCTGAACAGTACGAGAAGTAGGGCAGTTCACGCAGCTTATTTTTGTTCCGAAAATTAAACCGCACCCTTCATTATCAGAATTAAAGTCTTGCTACTGAACAGTCATCGGTGACAAATCAAACACATTAAGGCAGAATGCAGATGAAGAAACTTCAAGCCTCCCTTCTGGGTTAGCACTTTGTCCTTTAAAAAGGGCAAAACTTTTTTTTTACCGGCAGAGTGAGAACTATACCTTAAAGTGCTCATTTACAGTATTTGGAATCTGGTACAGCTTAGTAACACTGTGGCCACGACATCAGCTATACCCAAGTCAAGTCTGCTTAAGTGTATGTAACAGATGCAAATTAAGTCACTTCCTAACTACTGTATTCCCCTCTTGCCAGATACTATTATAAAGAAGAATCCCAGGTATTCCAAGAAACATGCCTACCTTCTGATGCAGTGTAAACACCGGGGGGGGGGGGTTGATAGTTATTTTTTCAAGCAACTAAAAACTACCTACGAAGGATTAATAAGTTTATTCAACACTTAACCATCTACTCATTAATTTAAAGAAGGCTATCTTAAAGCTTAGAGGCCATTTCTTTCTCTAAAGCCATGACTTCACACAAACAATAGAGTCTACTTCTGATGGTACCATAGTATAGGGCAGCTTTGGAGATGCTCTTGCCATTAAAAATTGTGCACCAAATGAGCAGTTTCCCTGCGAGAACTGCTTGTAGGTGCAGATTCTAATTCTTAGTAGAAGTAATGCTGATACGTGTTTTCCCAAACTCTTAGATTAATTTAATTACTCTGAAAGTGTAATACAATAATTCATTCAGCAACTTAGAGGCTAAGGTTTTACGCTAGTGTTGAACGAGCCTGATTTTGTGTGTCTGCTCAGATCACAGATTATTTCAGAAATCAGGCTGTAGCTGCCGGTCTATACCACCTGCCAAAGCACTATAAATTAGCATGCGAGAAGAAACCTATTTCAAACCCATTGGAAAAGTCACTACCCATAACAAACCTGTGCGTCTCGGCCATCATTAAGTTAATAACGCTTTTCAAGCTTTTGTGAACGGAATTTTATGCTTACATACAGCTTATCTGGAAATCCAGAATTTTATTCTGGATGGGTGAGGTAGTCGATGTAACCCTCCTCGTGTAGACGTCACACTTCCCCAAAGTTGGTGTGTCCGGTCTCCTTGGCATGTTCTCTGGCCTCCACTTGTCCAGTTAGTCCCTTCTGGCACACCATGCACCTCAGCGTAAAGCGATTCACGTCGGTAAACTGCCTCTTCCGTCTGGCTTCGTCCGCCAGCTCCAAGGCTTGAGCAAGAACAACATCATCAGTCGTGGAGAAAATGGTTTGGGGAGGAACGTCCGAGTCGGGGATTTTACGCTCGAGTGGATCGTAATGAATCCCGTCGTAAATTAAAAGGACCCGCTTGGTGTAACTGGCATCTTCCCCGAAACGGTCGATTCTGACCGTCTGCGTGTCCACCACACAGATCTCACACTGGTAAAATTTGGATAGAATGGACACTTCGATGGCTCCTCCCCAAGTCTCTTCTCTTCTGATCCAGTCGCAATACTCCCTGTTAGTTTTCCCTAGAACTGCCTCACAGTAAGATTCGGGATCGCTGGCCACTATCTGGGCGATGAGGTTGCGCATCTCTGGGGCGCAACCTGGGTCGTAAACGCCTCCCTCCACCACGTAGTAGATGCTGGTGAAGAGACAGGAGTTATCCGCCGGGACAACCCTCCTCATGAGCACCGGCACCGCTTCCCTCACCGAGTTCGACATCGTTCTCTTGGCGACGACGGGCGAGTCGGGCTTGGGTTTGGACGTATCCTCTTCGACTATGAGGGTATCACCTGTCAAACACACACACGGAGGAAGAATTGAATTTCACTGAATTTCACTGAATTTTAGAGTTGGAAGGGACCATAGAGATCATCTAGATGCCTAGAGCTAGAGCACATTACTCAGGACTGCATCCAGGCGGGTCTTGAAAATCTCCAAGGAAGGGGACTCCACACCCTCCCTGGGCAGCCTGTTCCAGGGCTCTGTCACCCTCACCGTGAAGAAGTTTCTCCTCATATTTGAGTGGAACCTCTTATGTTCCAACTTGTGCCCGTTGAGAGAAATACACGGATGGGAGCTAAAGAGAGGTCCTAAGAGAGGACGACAGGGCCGTGCTGTTGTTATGATAAAGGTTCACCCTCGTTTTCCCTGGCAGCCCGGTATCCTGGTGGAAAACAGCCCCCACCAACGCAGCCGGTGGCCCCACAACCCCACAGTGGGCTCTGACGGACTCACCTGGGCCTCTCCCGGGTCCCCGTCCCCACAGCCCCGCGCTGTTGCCTCCGCACCCCCGGGACGCGAGCGAAACCACCACCGAGTCGTCCCTCCCGAGCCGGCTGCTGACAGCTCCCCCGGGGCGGAGGAACCGGCCCGGCAACCGGCTGACGAGGGGCGGGCTGGGCCGCAGCCCCTTTTAATTACGGTAATTGCAGCCGGCGGGGCAGCAGAAGCCATAAAGCGCCCGGTGCACGCCCCGCCCAGGCCCGGCCCTCACCCGAGTGGATGCCGAGGTCTCCGAGCCGCCGCTCGCCGTCGCTGAGATCCAGGCTCCGCGGCGGGAAACCGAGCAGGAGGCGCTGGGCCGGGGCGGGGACGCCGGTGAGGGCAGCCAGCGCGGCCTGCATGTCTCGGAGGCGGGAGTGGGCCGTGAGGCCGGGCAGGGGGTGGGTGCCGCTCCGGGCCTTGCAGCGCAGCCGCAGCATCCTCGGCGGGGCCGCCCCGCGCCGCCGCC